TCTCTCTCTCTCTCTCTCTCTCTCTCTCTCTCTCTCTCTCTCTCTCTCTCTTTCTTTTACACATTCACACACTTTCACACAGGCACACACACTCACACACACGCAGAGACACATGCACACACGCACTCTCACACACGCACGCACACACACACTCACACACACACACACACACACACATACACACACACACACACACACACACACACACTCACACTTACTCACTCACTCACTCCTCTCTCACTCTCACTCACCGTGTCACTTACGTATTTTCTGTCATACACACTTAAAAGACAGAAATAGCAGACAAAAAATAAACAGACGAGATTCGGTTTACTTAGCCCTCCCCCTTCTTCACTCTCTCTCTCTCTCTCTCTCTCTCTCTCTCTCTCTCTCTCTTTCTCTCTTTCTCTCTCTCTCTCCGTGTCTCTCTCTCGCTTACCATTTAACAATTCACACCCTCCCTCAGTATTCTCACGCGCTCACTAAACCTCAATTTGCATCTGTCAACGGGTAACTTCATCGGCACCCCCACTCACAACTCCTCCATGCAAAGCCATTCTGCTCGCCGGCCTATCCCAGCACACCCTTCCTCTCGTATTCTGTACACAGACGAGTGATCTCCTCACCTGCTTTTTTTTTTCTTTCGCTCTTTTCCTTTCTATTCCCGTATCTCTTCTCGTAACTTTCAGCACCAGGGTCGCAAAACCTGCCAAGGTTCCAACACGCGTCAAATTCATTTCTATTCTGAAGCATAGTATTTTAAATGTGTCTTGGATACTGCAGGTTCTTCGAAAGGAGCGTAAAGTAGAACCTATTTAGACACAGGTGCCTTATTTCCCAGCTAGCTGCTATTCGTGAGTGACAACACCACCCCACTAGACAAGCTGGGTAGACTGAGTGCCATTCCTGTTCCGACTTGTTTGGAGCTGCCTTTTAGCCATACCACCCTAAATCCTCTCCATGTCTTGTAAATGTTAGGCAATATTTTCAAATATGACACGGTCAACTTAAACAATAATAAGCTTACAATAATCTGATATTAGAACAAAACTTGTAAGTGTTAAACCATTGTTACTGTTTCAATCATTTTTAAAATAAAGCAAGCACTCAATAAGTAACTCTGATTCTCTACAGATTTTGTTAGAAGAAAAAAGATGCCAAGATATTAGTGCATGCAGTATAAACGATCAGAGTTGTTAATAAAGAAGGAGGGTTTAAGACAAGGATGCATAACAATCGTGTATAGAAAGGGGCAGGGGATGGGGGG